TCTCCGGGCCCGGGCCCCCCGCCTGCTCCTCGGGGTGTGCGGAGTCGAGCCCGCGGCCCAGGGCGGGCAGGTCAGACACCCCCTCGTGCCCCCAGTCCGAGTGAGCGTCCACGGGGTTGAGAGGGTCCTCGGGCAGGGAGGTGACAGAGCCCTGGGAGCTGCACCGGCGGATCAGCATGGCCTGCCGGGACAGTTTCATGTCCTCCTCCGCAGACATGGGGGCCTCGGGCCCCGGCTGCATCCCCACAGCCCCGCCATGGCCCCTCTCCACCTCCCGACCTTCCCGTTCCTCCTCCTCCGACATGGAGGCGTAGGAGACCAGGGATTCGTTTCGCAGGGACGGGGAGATGGCTGACACGTCTGGAGTCCGCAGCTCTGGTCCTGACTCGGCTGGAAGAGAAGAGAAACCCTCTGGTGAGCCTCAGCACTGCCCTAGTAGTCCCCAGGCCCTTCCCAACACATGGATCCCAGCAGATCTCCATCCTGACCCCACTGCCAGTGAATCTCCAACCAGACACCACTCCCAGTGGATCTCCATCCTGACCTAGAAGATCTCCATCCAGACCCAGAGGATCTCCATTCAGACCCCACTCTCAGCAGACCTCCATTCAGATCCTGAGAATCTCCGTTCTTACTCCAAAGCCAGCAGATCTCCATCCAGTCCTGTTCCCAGAAGATCTCCACCCAGACCCTGCTCCCATCCAGACCCAGAGGATCTCCATCCCGACCCCACTTCCAGCAGATCTCCATCCTAACCCCACTGCCCGTGGATCTCCATCCAGACCCTGCGCTTCCCAACAGATCTCCACCCAGACCCAGTGGAACTCCATGAGGACCCAGAGGATCTCCATCCAGACCCAGCAGACCTCCACCCAGATGCCTTTCCCAGCAGAGTCTCTAGCCCCATCTCCACCGTACCTGAGCTGCTCTGCCCCTCGCCGCGGCTGTAGTCGCAGACGCCGGAGGGGTCGGGGCTCTGTCCTGCCAGCCGGGGCACGGCCGAGCCCTCCACGTCAGGCAGGGCCGAGGGCTGCCCGTTGGTGTCGATGTAGATGCTGGGGTGGCTCACGCCAGGCTGCAGGTGCATGAAGGGCTGCTTGGTAGCACCGGGGAAGAACAGATCTGCAGGACACAGCGGATCCGGCCTCAGCCGAAGGCAGCTCACATCCCCCTGCCGAAGGGCAGAGGGGCATCCCCGGGAGAGGGGTGACAGGGGAGCGACACTGCGGGGGACACAGAGTGGCACCGAGGCACAGATCCTCCTCCTGCAAGGATAGCTCTTGCCCTCACCTCCCCCAGCACTATCCTGAACCCTGAGGGGGATGATATCCCCTAATACCATAGAATCAGATCATGGGATCATGGCATCATGGAATAACCTCAGTTGGGAGAGACCCACAAGGATCATCCAAGTCCAACTACTGGCCCTGCACAGGACACCCCAACAATCCCACCATGTGTCTGAGAGCATTGTCTAAATGCTCCTTGAGCTCTGTCAGGCTTGGGGCTGTGACCACTGCCCTGGGGAGCTGTTCCAGTGCCCAATTACCCTTGGTGGGAAGAACTTTTTCCTAATATCTAGCCTAAACCTCTGCGACAGCTTCACACCATTCCATAGGATTTCCTTCAGCTCAGAGACCCCTTACTTGGTACATGATGGGCATCTGGTCAGAGACACCCAAGCCTGGACTGCGTGGACCAAGCCCTGTGATGCCTCTGGTGAAACTGGAGGAGCTACGCTGGGATCAAAGAGCATCAAATTAAAGAAAGGAGAAAAAAAGAACAAAAAAGACCTGCTCCCACAAATTTGGAGTGTTCCTGTCAATCCCACTGATCTGGCACAGGTTTTTCAGAGAAAGTGTGGCTGCCCCATCCCTGGAATGTTCAAGACCAGGATGGACAGGGTTTGGAGCAACCTGGGCTAGTGGAAGGTGTACCTGCCTATGGCAGGGGGTTGGAACTAAATGAGCTTTAAGGTCCCTTCCAACCCAAATCATTCCATGACTTCTGTGATTTTCTGATCCCAGGTGATTTTCACAGTGGATTGCTAATCCCAGTGCATGCAGTTCCCAACCCCAGTGGTCTGGTACTGGGGTACGACAGGACCACAGCTCTGCCGGATGCTGTCATCCCAACACAAACCACAGTGTCCTTCCACAGTCTGTGTACCAGCATGGAATGCCCATGCTTGGGGAGATCATGGACAGATGTCCCTCAGAGAGTGCAGCGGGAACAATGCTCCAATCATCCTCTCCCCACGACTGACCTGGGTCCAGGATGATTTCAGGCTCTGAGTCGTGGCTGGGCCAAAAAAAAATCGTGGCTGGCCTGCAGGAAGGCGGAAGCCACCATCTTCTCCAGGGGCGTGAGGCGTGGCTTGTGGAGTGGCCCACCGGCACGGTTCATGGGCAGGTGCTTCTTGGAGGTGATCTTCTTCTTGACGTCCAATCGCAGGTCGCGCCACTTGTGCTTGAGGTCGTCGATGGAGCGCTCGGTGTAGCCCAGGAAGTTGACGCGGCTTTGGATTTGTGTCCAGAGCTGCTTCCGCCGCACCGGGTGAGCCCGCAGGGCCTCGGACCCGTACAGGGCGCTGAAATGCCGGACCACATTCCAGACCAGCGTCTCAGTCTCGTCATTGGAGAAGTTGGCCTTCCTCTTCCGGCCAGACGCTGGCATCGCCTGCGAGGCTGCGGCAGAGGTGGAAGGGGCACAATTGAACCTCAGTCCCCACTCCTCTCTGTCAGCTCCTGGGGGGAACATGGGGCTGCGGGAGCCCGAGGGAGCCGCGGAGGAGGGAGCCGAAGCAAGAGCCCCGGAGGCTTCCATGGCAGGGGAGGCTTGGGCCGGGGAGGATCTAAAGAGCCGCTTCGGCACAGCACGCGGCACGGGCGCACCGCATCCCCTCGCCCCGGCTCGAGAGCACCTGGGAGGGGAGAAAAGGAAAGGGCAGCGGTGGGTGGTGGCAGTTTGGGGTGACAGCGAGGCCCCCCGGCTCTCTCCAACCAGAGGCACCCAGGAGCCCCCAGACAGCTACCATGGGGGTCATGGAGAGGGACATGGCCACAATGCATGCATTGGGACTATGGTGAGGGGTCACGGTGAGTGCCTGAGCCACAGCATGCGCTGCGGGGCCATGGCAGGTGCCTCAGAGGGTGCCAAGGAGCACCTCGGGGCCAGGCCGAGGGTGATGCGGAGGGCCTCAAGGCCATGGCAGGGTCTCATAGCAATGTTGACCACAACGGAAAAAGCCTTGGACATGATGAGTACTTCAGATTCCAAGCAAGGGCTTTGGGGCCACAGCACAGACCTTGGCCCTAGGACAGGTCTAGAGGTCATGCAAATGCCTTGGCCATGGTGAAGACCTTGGCCAAGACATAGGCCAAGCACCTCAGATTCCTGGTAAGGACCTTGGGGCCATGGTGAAGCCCACGGCCATGGCAAGTGCCTCAAGGCCATGGTAAACCCATTACAGAAGGCTGTGGCCACAGTGAACAGCTCAAGCCCCCTCTGAGGAGTTTGGGACTGTGGCGAAGCCATGGCAAGTGCTTTAGGGACAAAGTGAAGACCCTGGCAAAGGCCTTGGCCATGCTGAAGACTTCAGCCATGGTGAAGACATCCAGCTCCCAGTAAGGACCTTGAGACCATCACAGCAAAGTCCTTGGCCATAGTGAAGACCTTGGTCATGGTGCACACCTCAAGCTTCCTGTTGCTTTGCCACAGCAAAGACCTTGACTATGATGAATGCCCCAAGTTCCCAGTGAGGAACCCTGCAGACACAGCAAAGACCTCGGCCGTGGTGCACACCTGAAGCTCCCGGTGAGCACCCTGAAGCCATGGTAAAGGCCTTGGTCATAGTGCACACCTCGAGCTTCCTGTGAGGACCTTGGGGCCACAGCAAAGACCTCGACTATGATGAATGCCCCAAGTTCCCAGTGAGAAATCCTGCAGACACAGCAAAGACCCTGGCCATGATGTACACCTGAAGCTCCCAGTGAGCACCCTGGAGCCACAGCAAAGACCTTGGCCACAGTGAACACTGTGGCCATGGTGAAGACCTCAAGCTCCTCATGAGGACCTTAGGACCACATCAAGCACCTTGGCGAGAGTGAAGACCTCAAGCACCCTGTGAAGACCTTGCTATCACATCAAAAACCTCGGCTACGGCAAGTGCCTCAAGGCCATAACGAAGCCTCGACCACGGTGCGCACCCGAGCCTTGGTGCACACCTGGACCACGGCTCATGGTGCACACCTCAAGCTTCCAATGAGGACCTGGGGGAGCAAAGCCCTCCAGCACGGCGCCCACCGCAACCTCCCACGCCCCGCCAGCACCCCACGTGCACAGCACCAGCCTCGTGCAGACCCCCCACCCTCCACATGCCCCTGATGCCCAAACCATCACCCCGAGCC